AGATTATCAAGACTTGGTTCCATCTATAGGTTGTTGAATGGATGGAGGCAGGTCTGAATGCAAGCTTGCAGTCAATTATTAGAAAGGTCAAAAATTACATAGAATAGGTATAGATATGATGATATTGCCGGCTTTAACTAGATAACTGCTATATGTTGCATTATTGACATTTGAGAACATGTCTGATTCATGAATGAATCACAAACATACCAATCTAATTCATAAACAAATTATTCGGTCCAGTTAACTAAAAAGAATCAACTAATACAAATTTATATAATTTGTTCACCGATCCAGTTCACGGATCACTGAGTCGAACACGAGAACAAAATCACTAAGCAAATCATTCTTTAGAGTCGATTCTTTTCAATGAACCAGTCGAACCAGTTTTAATGAACCATTTCACAAATCAAACTATGCCTTTAAATTGATAATCTTATATGGTAAAAAAAAAAATTCTAAAAGTATTTTAAATAAGCTAAATATATGTTGCAAGCAGTGAAGCTCAATGAAATATATTTTTCAAAGAAAATATTATTTTCAACCTTCGTATACCAAAACTTATTTCAAAATGTATTTTAAAGGCAAGACAATATATTTCCAATCTTACAATAGCCTATATGTAGGCTAAAAACAAATGAGGACAAAATAGCTTATTAGATATCAAAACTAGATTTAGAATTTTTTAATAATGTTCTCTTTTTTCATATATTGTATTGTCTTTTTTTTTTAATTTGGAACATTGTAAAGTAGCTCCTTGCTGATTTTTATTTAAATATATTTTTATTTTTAAAATATATTTTCAAAAATATACAAAAAAAACAGCCAATATATATTATAGAAAACATATTTCTGCAAATATATTTTGAAACCTCTTTTAGCAAATATATTTTTTTGTATATTTTGAAAATAAATTTTTTTTGCTATATGGGATCATACAAACAAAAGAGGTTACAGAGAGCTAAAGATGATTAGTTTATACTTTCTTTGACCCTTTTAAAAGGGGTCCCTCAAATGGGACAAGACATATTCTTGTAGCGAGGGCTGGCCCTTTGAATTCCCAGAATTCATACTGTCCTACATATGGTATGCATGTGTGAGCTGAGTGCATAGTGCTTCATTCACATTTAATAACAACCTCAACACAATTAAAAAAAACAAGGTTATTATTGTACAAACAGCTTGATTTTCAGCAGGGTAAGCATTACACAAAGCTCAGACTGCCTACGATTGCCCTTTTTTGTGTCAAGGTGCGATGAAGTTGTCAACCTTGGTATGGACAGGCATCAATAAAAAGAATGGTCCGTAGCGCTCGTTTACCACCGGCTTCAATCACTGAAGTGCTGTGATGAAAGCTTCATTTACTGAAACTGACAAATGCTGGTGTCTCAAACTCTAGCGGTTTTACAAAAGGTATTACCTCAGGCTGGGGGACGAGGTGAAACTAGTACACAAGACAAATCATATTAAGCCAAATAAGGCATAGCGTACACAGGTCCGTGAGACAGGAAGTCTGAACAGATGGAAGTGGGACAAGGTAGAGGAGAGGGGAAGATGTGAGGGTTCGTTTTAGCATTCTTGTTTAGGTGAAAGGTGCTGTTTGCCTCTCATGCTAATGAAAAGTACTTTAAAGAAAAAATATCTACACTGTAAAAAAAATTCTGTAGTTTTTATAAAATAATTTTGGCAGCTGTGGTTGCCAGAATAATTTTGTAAAAAATACAGAAAAACTGACGGGAACTTACTTTTAACCTATTAACTGTTTTTTTTCCGTAGCGTTTTTACAAAATTTTACAGTTAAAATTACACTTATTTTTTACAGTGTATGCAATGTCTTTTCTTAATAGCATTAACAAACATTATTATGCAATAGAATGCTTAACAGATGATTATATATAGGCCTATTAGCTATTAAATTTGATTAAGTTTCACAAAGAATGTCAAAAGTCCCAAGTGTGTGTGTGTATATATATATATATATATATATATATATACTCCTCTACACTATTTTCAAACTATTTTCAGTTTTCAGTTCAGTTTTAATTTCTGTGAACCAAAACAAAGCTTTTTTGATGCTACCTTTTAGTTCGTTTTTTTTTTTTTTTTTCTGTTTCAAAAACAATTATTATTTTTTAATAATTATCTTAATGTTAATATTTAGCTGAAAAGCCTATTAGGCTATAGATTATTTAATGGAAAGTTTCTATTGTGAAAACTACTGGGGCATGCATGTGGTCACAAGAGGTCAATGTGTGTTGGTGTGTTTGGTGAACAATAAAGATGGAAATAAGTAATAGCTTTTTGTAGACAAGACATAAATGGAGTATGTACCTTTGCTGAATCGTAGCTTTAACTGTTTCTTCACTTGATTTATGTCACCGTTCACTGGTAAAACTGTGAAGTTAAGCGAGTGTTTGATTTCATAACGGATCTAATATCTCCCTTTGTTGGTTTTATTGCATAAGCGACAATTTCATTGCTCCACAAGGATAACTGTGTCACGGCTGAACTAGATGTTCATGCGTTCATAAACGTATAGTGGTGAATTTCAGCTTTAAAACACACACAGAAGTTGCTAATAAGCCTTTACTTGATATTACGATGTGTTTAAAGAGAGTATGTTTCTCTGCTTTTCTCCTCAGGTGTGGTATGAGTGAAGTCGCCTCCGTCTAGCACAAACTAGAGCTCACGTTTGAGAGAGTCGAAAGAGGACGTCCGTTCAGCAATTGCTGCACATCACACCATGAGCCAACCACAGTGAGTGTGCAAGCTACAGTGAATCCTACCTGCTTTATATTGCTGTGGATAGTAGTGTGAGAACGCTGCTGTGTGTATCGTGCACAGGAGAGTGTGTGTTGTGTTTGTGTGCGTTTACTCTTCAGTAACACTAATTATGCATTAAGCAATGTATTGTTTAGATTTTTTTGTCCCCTTTGTTTCATTTGAATACTTTTTGGAGTGTAGTTTTTCAAAAACATTTTTGGATTATCTCATTCTTCAGATTGTGTTGTTCGAACATTAGTTGTACAGTGATTTGTCAAACAAGTCTGGTCCTACCATAAATAGGTTACATATTCAGTATTAATAATATTGGTACTATATACTGTGGTTACTGCTGTATGTATATATCATATCATATAATCATAAATCATCAAAATATGATGATTTAATATGTATCATATTTAGAAATATTATAATCAAAAATAGATACGCTGCTGTTCAGAAGTTTGTGGTCGTTAAGATTTTTTTAAAGTTTTTTTTTTAATTCTCTTCTGCTCACCATGGCATTTATTTGATGAAAAATACAGTAAAAATAGTAGTATTGTGAAATAGTATTACAATTTAAAATGAACTGTTTTCTATTGTAATTTTTATTTTAAAATGTAATTTATTTCTGTGATCAAAGCTGAATTTTCAGCATCATTACTCCAGTCTTCAGTGTCACATGATCCTTCAGAAATCATTCAGATATGCTGATTGGCTGCTTGAGAAACATTATTATTAATGTTGTAAACAGTTGTGCCACTTAATATTTTTGTGGAAACAATGATACATTTTCAGGATTTTTTGATGAATAGAAAAGAGCTGCATTTATTTGAAACCGTAAGACTTTTAAAATAAATTGAATAATGAAGTGTAGCTGAAGTATTAATTTCTTTCCAAAAAAAAAAAAAAAAGTATTGACGACCCCAGACTTTTTAATGGTAGTGTAAATGCATATTTATCATGCAAGTAAACGTACAATGGTTGCTGGACAATTTTCAAGCCACTAATATTATTAAACATGACAGGAAAAATACTTTCAAACAGGTTCCCCAACCAGACCCATCTGCCATTGGTCAGAAAAACTCATAACAATATGATAACAAATGATTAGTTACGCCGCCCAGATTCACACAAATAATTAGTTACGTTGCGGTGTTGGGCTGGTCAGGGTGCAAGATGAAACTAAATTAGGACTGGGAAATATTTAACAATAAAAAAAATTTTTACATTACCTACAGATAGACATTAAGACATCTTTCTTGAGTCAGTCCAGCATATGAATGTTCTTAATTGACTCGTCATCTTCAGCAGCAGGAGCCGCAGCGCATCTCACTTGAGATCCATGTGTTTGTTCTGCAGCAGGAGGAGTGTGATATCGTAATTTATAGCCACACACTGTTCTGCAGTCAGGTGCTCAGTGTGTCCTCAGATTCATGTAGAGAATGCGAGATCCTATCTGCCCTTTCCACAACTGTTCTAGGATCAGCAGCACAGATGCTGACTTGGTCTTCTTAGGTGAAGTCATGACGTGACTTTTGCATTACATTCTCACAGAATCAGGCCACCTTACCCAATTTAATTTGATGCAAGGGAAAATAAGTCTGTGAGGTAAAGATGTACAGTCTGTTAAGTATATTGTATTGTCATGTGGCTGGTGTTGATCGCTAAGTCTGTGAAATGTTAAGTTCATTGTGGACTTCAAACATGATTTGTAAAAATTAGGTATTTGTTCGTAAAATGCATATGTACGTTTTTGCATAGGCGCTGAAACTATAAAAGCAACCTGTTGTTGACTGCATCTAATGTAAACTTGCACTTACGACTTTAGAGACATACAAATGTTTATGAAACTTTTGATGTTCATGATATCGCATATCACTTAAAGTATCACTTAAAGTACCTTTTATATATGCTTAACTTTAGAGACGTACAAATGTTTACAAATTCTTTCATGTTGATGATGTTGTTGATAACTATACAATAGCATCATATCAACCGCGCCTAAACCATAAAACCTTTTATGTATGTACAACTTTACGGATGTACAAATGTTTACAAATCATTGGATGTTGTTGATAATCTTACATTAGTATCAAATCATTTATGTACGTACAACTTTACAGTCGGCATTGTGTCGACACGTCTAAAACGTAAACCCTTTTATGTACAGCTTTTCAAGCATACAAATGTTTACAAATCCTTTGACTTGGATGTTGTAGATAAACATGCAATAGCATTGTCAGTGCTTAAAACATAAACCCTTTTATGTACAACCTTACAAAATCAATTTACAAATCATTTGATGTTTATTGTGTATTATGTTCATGATATTTTTGCTAAAACCATTTACATATGCATAAATTTAAATGTTTAAAAATCCTTTTTACAATAGCATTGCATTGACAGCACCTAAAACGTAAACCCTTTTATGTCTGTACAATTTTACAGACATATGTTTACAAATCCTTTGATGTTCATGTAGTTGATTAGCTTTCAGTACCATCGTATCGACAGCGCCTAAAACCTAAACACTTTTGTGTATGTATAACTTTAGAGATGTACAAATGTTAACAAATTGTTTGATGTTGTTGACAAACAGCATTGTATTTACAGAGTTTAAAATATAAACCCTTTCACGTAAAACTTCAAAGATGCACAAATGTTTACAAATCATTTGGCGTGGATAAAAATGCAATAGCGTTGTATCAACAGAGCTTTATGCTAACTTTATGTTAGTTTAACTCTTTTATGTACAACTAAAAAATGTTTACAAATCCTTTTATGCTTATTGTGTATTATGTTCATGATATTGTTGCTAGGCGTGCAGTATCAGCCCATTGACAGCATTTGAAGCATAAAACCATTTGCATACATATGCATACATTTAAATGTTTAAAAATCATTTGATGTGCAGCATTGTATCAACAGCACCTAAAACTTAAATCCTTTTACATACAACTTTACAGAAATGTTTACAAATCATTGTTAGGTATGTTGTTGATAAATGTACAATAGCATTGTATCACAGCACTTAAAACATAAAACGGACATACACATGCTTCCGAATCCTTTAATGTTCATGATATTGACATATCTATGCAAATGTTTCAAAATGTATGTGTGCTTGAAACACACTTTACATACAAATAGCTATGAATACCAATGAGATAATGTAGATTGAATGGACTGTACTTCTATCCCTCACAGCCTTATTTCTGTTTGTGTCAAATTAAAGGAATATTAAACAAGAATCAGCTCTGAAGTACAACCAATACTAGCACCGGTGTCAGTTTGTATATTGTATTATGAAGAAGTGCTCGGTGTGTGGCCCTCACAGGAAGCTCCTGTATTCTGATGGCAGTGGTTTCGGTGTCCAGGGAGAGGAGGAGAGGGAGGTTTGGGAGGTTGGTAGTGAATGCAGAGTGGATTACTTCAGCTGCCGTCTTTGTTCATCAGAGCTGCACTTGTGTACTGTGCATTCAGAGTGAGTCTGAGACACGGGAGTAAGCAGCAGAGAATAACATGATACATTTGACTCAATTACACACCACAGGATAGATTGCAAGTATACCGCAAAAGTCCTTATATTAAATCAAACCAAAACCGCCATGTGGATATTATTTACACATGCAGCATGTATTACTGATCTTGTGTTGTGAGAAATAGACATACAAATGCTTAAAGCGAGGAAAGTCAACAACACAAGGATCTAAGGATTATTTCACAGCTGGTTGTTCAGGAGCATCAATACAGAAAACTTTTTTTATAATCTACATGACAAATGTCATTTTCTTTACTGTTTGGACATATTTTCTATTACAGCGAAGTTGGAATGAGAGACTATTCAAAGGAATTTTCTTTTAAATAGTAATTAGTAATTAGCAGTTATTTTAGTAATAGCAGTTATTTCACAGCAAAATTTGCTATTTGCTATTGCTAGTCAGGATCTGGTGAAAGTGTGTTTATTTATACATACACACATATACATATATATAAAACTCTTAAACCCTAAAAACTAGCCGGTTTGAACTAAAACTTGCAAAAGTACGGTTTTGATTTAAGGTCCTAATGCGACACTTGCCACTTTTGCCACACAAGTCCCAAAGACTTAGTTTTTATTTTATAAAAGGATATAAAGCATTTTATTTTGTTTTGTCTTGTTTTTTTATTTTATACAGATAAAGAACAAAAATATTTGTTGATAATTTTTTATTAAAATATAGAAACTACACCTGAATGGGTAACAGTGTTGACATTGTATCCTAAAATAAGCTGTTACTCAAGAGGGTCTAGATATTTGGGAGAAAATGCTGATTTTTATACTGATTATTGTAGAATTCCCATAAATTAAAGAAAAAATATATGGTTGATTTGGTTTTTTTTGTTTGTTTTTTTTAAATTAGAAATAATGTTGGTAACAGGGTTGAACACGATTTGTGTCAAAATATATTAAAAAAAAAACAGAATTATACTATTTGTCTTTGTGTTAGAAAGGATACAGATAAACTTGGACATTTTCATTTTGTTACGTTTTTGTAATGGGGAAAGTCATGTGGTAACAGGGTTGCACATACACTGTAGACACAGTTTAACATTTTCAGATGTTTTTGTTAATTAAGGTTAATTAGAAATTGGAAATAGACATTTAAAAATAGATTAATTTTTGTTAATTAAGATAAATTAATAATTTGATGTGGCTTTATGCATTAAAACTTGGCCACCCTTGCAGGTGCTGCTTTGTTGAATTTTTTTTTTATTGTGTCACTTTTTTGTCAGATATGTCAAGGTTGCTGTTTTATAACTCTTGCTTTTTGAATTCGCATCAGATGATGATATGATACAAATAATATAAGTATATTCAGCCTGTATATTTATGATATCATGTAGCTGGAGTGAAGTAACTGAGGTTGTTCCATAGTGCCGTTCTACAATCGTGACACAGATGTGCTTCAGTATTCTCTGACCAAGTTCTGAGTGTTTTGATCATCACCTGGTCCTGTTATTATTGTTTGTATATGTCCTTCTATTCACCACACGTGTGTGTGTGTGTGTGTGTGTGTGTGTGTGTGAGTGATTGTGCACACGTGCATGCATACTCATGTGCTCATGTTTTCACACACGCATGCTTACATGCACTCTAACACACCCTGAGGACACCTTTGTGCTTGAAACAGGTCACCTAACATTTGGCCTCCGCTGTTCTGTCTAATGAGGTCTGCCTCGTCATTTTCTGCAAAAGCTGATCATTTTCTCATCGTGACATTCAACATTTACAACACAGTCCTCTCTGCTTGTTCTACTTGAAGACTATAGTACCATCCAGTTTAACTAACAGTAACTGTTTATGATTTGACTAAATAATAATAATATATTCCACATTAAATGATGTTGCACACAAACTGTGGGACAGTTTTGCATATATTTTAAATGTTAAATGTTTTTAATTAAAATTAGTTGATTTAAAGTGTTCAAATATATTATTTACTGCAGTGAATTGAATATCAATTCAACGGAAGTATGTAAAAATTATGACATTGTTTAATAACCTGGAAGGATACAGTTGAGAAGGTGGTGCAAAAAAAATCACCATTTGGTAATTCATACTATAAATTTCATACTATATTAGTTTTATATTACATAATAGGTTATCATCACATCTAATAGTTCATAACACAACAAAAAACATGGGATTTGTGCCACTAATGCTTCAAAATCAAGTCATGGGCCACTGTACCATATGCTTTAATTTCTCATAGCTTTGATATATAGTCTTTAATGCCTCTGCAAAAAAAAAGAGGTCATGCAAACACCGTGAGCTACAACACCAGACATCTGTTCTGATCAATATATTCTTCAGAATAACTTGCTTTGCATCTTGGATTTGGTCCAAATGAATCTTTTCTGGGCCCACAATATGCTGACACACATTTTTTCACCATAATCTGGTTCATAACACACCAAAGCTGTGTTCTTATTTAACTTCGAAATACCGCTCAATGTCACACAAGTCTCCACAATATGACTGTGGCAGAAGAATGAAGTGAATCCTTCAGACATTATTATATCAAGGCCAACCTATGCAAAGCACTTTGATTGGGACATGGGAATCTCACAGCTGCTGACTAACACAAACTGATGGCTCACCGGATGAATGCTGGTTGCAGCAGCTGGCTGTGAAGGTCTAACAGATGTTACTGGGATATCACTTGACACCCCATATGCAGTTTTACTACCTTATTTCAAGGCCTATATGTGGACTTTATGTATTTACAGTATAGGCTATAGTAAATAACTTCTTACCTGTATCACTGATAATTTGTAGGGCACACTTGGTTTCTGCCTCATTAATATTGTCCTCTGCAAACTGCTAGCAAGCTGTAATGAAGCTTATATCTTCTCTGTGATTTGCTGTGTGTTTAGTGTGTACGGAAACCCATCAAGGGAGGTGTTATGATGACTTTAGTGCATCCCATCCTGAAACAGCATTTTATTGTCTTATAAGGTCACAGATTCTCATAACTCAAATCTGTACTGAAGGAACTTGATATAAAAGAGAAATGTTTAGATGTCCCAAAGATATTTATTAATTTATGCTTATTTCTCCACACTGTTTTCACCTCATTTTGATTTACAAGTGCAAAATCACACCTCTGTATAAATAATGAAAAGTCATTATTATTGTCATATTTTTATACCTTGTGTTCGCCAAATTAGACTTGGTGAAGTGTAAATTATACTTCATATTTGTGTTGTTGGTAATCGTTATAGTTTGTATTAGAAGTTATTTAAAGGGGGGTCCAATGCTATTTCATGCATTCTGAGCTATTCACACTGTTAAAGAGTTTGATTCTCGTGCATGGCCAAAGTAAAAAAAAAAAAACAATTTGGACGTATGATGGAGAATTTCTGTGCCAAATACACTCCTTTCGGGTTTCTCTAAGTTTCGGAAAGAACCCAGCGTTAAGGGAACAGTGGATGCAGTTTGTTTTTCCGAGGCAGCAAGAGAGTTTCGCAGGAGTGTTTGTTTGTTCCCGTCATTTCAGTGACAAAAGTTTTATAAACAAGGCCAGTTCGACACTGGATTTGCACATCGTTTGATACTGAAATATAGAGTGCTTCCAGCGATAAAAGATTCCTGTCATGAGTCGGAACCGTAGGCGGTAAATAAAACTACAACAAATTTCTGTGTTTTGTTGGCAATCAGTGCGTAAGTGCTCGTGACTCTTTAGCTCCGCCCACGGTGCGCCTCCAGGAGCTCGGCTGTTTTCAAAGAGAATCGTAAAGCTATATCTTTCTTTTATAAATCTGATCAAACTAAAGACTCTTCGGAGATATGAAGGATGCAAAACTACTGTGTAGATACTCAAGAAAAAATACTATGGAAGTCAATGGGGACCAGAAACTTGTTACCAACATTCTTCAAAATATCTTCTTTTGCATTCAGATAGGTTTGGAACAACTTGAGGGTGAGTAAATGATGACAAAATGTTCATTTTAGTGTAGACTATCCCTTTAATTAACCTAACCCATGATTGGCAGTGGATTTATCCGCATGCCTGCATAGTCTCCTCTTGCGGATTCACTGAGGTTCATGTTCAGTCGAGCTCCGCACTTTTCAAGTGAACGTGCTTTCACTTTGCCGTCTGTGCATTTCTATGGTCGAGTGCAGCGTGAGGTGCAGGCTATTTAGATACTGCAGAAGATTACAGCATCTCTGTGAAACACCTGTCTAGAGACCAGCAGTTCCTCTTGAAACAACAACAATATGTTCTGTGTGTTCAAAACAGAAACATATATACTCCTTTTTTAAGTTTCTTAACATACATAAAACATTTTTATTATTTTTGTACCTGAGGATTACTGGAATAACCAACACAATTTCCTTGAAAGTGTTAAAAAAAAGGGGGGGAAAGGCTATGGATGGAATTGTGCAAATGGTGTATTTGTAATTTTATATTTTTTTATTATAATCAATTATTACATATAAAAACTTAAAAAATTATGTAATATATAAATATAAAAAAAGTACAAAAACAAAAAATGTCCCCTCAAGGTTAGCAGTTCTATTGGGGTATTTTTGTAAATACACATGTTTGGTAACCAGTTTTTATTTACGATGTATTGAAGCTATAAAGCTGGAAACCGTAGTAACCCATAAATTTGGTAGGTGGGGGTTAATGTTCTTCCCTGTGGGCTACTTTCTTATTTATTTCTATTGATCCTCTCCAGCTGATTTATGACTGTGCGCTGTAAACTCACTGGGGGGAAAGTGATACGCCAGCTAGTTTAGTTCAGTCAGTGGAAATAAAAATAATTGTAGAGGATATGGCACAACACCTTCTGAATTAAAAATGTGTATTTATGCGTGTGTGTAACCTAATCTGGTAACACTTTATTTCAAGGACCAATTCTCCGTATTAAATGATTAGTACACTTCCAGAATAAAAATTTCCTGATAATTTTCTCACCCCCATGTCATCCAAGATGTTCATGCCTTTCTGTCTGTCTTAAGTCGCAAAGAAATTACGTTTTTTTTTTCATATAATGGACTTCAATGGTGGCCAATGGTCCAAATTGCAGTTTCAATGCAGCTTCAAAGGGCTCTACACAATCCCAGCTGAGGAATAAAGGTCTAGCGAAATGATTGGTCATTTTCTAAAAAAAAAATTACATTTATATAGTTTTCAACCATAAATGCACATCTGTAAATGTATCACCACACTGATACAAAAATAGAAATATTTGTTCCTTTCTTTGTTATAAACAACATGAAGTACATTAAACATCACATTACATCAGGGTTTCTCAAAATTGGGTTTATGAAAAAACTTCAGCGGGTTTGTGGATTGATAAAAACCTAATACTTAGTTTAAACAAAAAAAGGAAAACAAGTAAAATAAAAAAATATATATTATTATAAATACATAAAACGATTACTAATATTTATTTTTTTTTGTTTACCTTCTTGCCATAAAGAGAAATGTAAAATTGAAAAAAAATTGTTGAAATTAATAAATTTCAATTAATTAGCTGTGTGAATGGTATGTAATCATGTATACTAATAAAATAATAATAATAATGTTTAATTTATATAGCACCTTTCCCAAGCTCAAGGACACTGCACAATTACAAAAGCAAATAAACAATCATGTCATACATAGATGGACAAGACATTTGCCAAGTCCAGAACGTGCGGTTGCAGTTGCATACCACAGTTATAATACAGTATCAAATCACAATCACAAAAAAAAACTTTATAACAGGTAATATTGGTTGAACATATAGGTTTTGAGTTTAGACTTAAATTCGTGGAGTGTGGTTATTGTCCGAAGAGCCAGGGGCAATGTGTTCCAAAGTTTGGGAGCCATAACAGAAAAAAATCTACCTCCCATAGATAATAGGCGAAATCTCGGAACACAAAGAAGTTCATCTCCAGATGATCGAAGTGGATGAGAGGGAATATATGGAGAAAGCAGGTCAGAGAGATAGGTAGGTGCAAGACCATGGAGTGACTTAAAGGTAAGCAGAAGAATTTTATAAATGATACGAGAGTACACAGGAGGTTGGAGGTTGATTAGAATAGGAGTGATATGTGCAGACCGTTTAGTGTAAGTTAGCATTCTCGCAGCAGAATTTTGAATATATTGTAATCGAGAGATGGAGCGTACTGGTAATCCGGAAAAAAGAGCGTTACAGTAATCAAGGCGGGATGTGATTAAAGCATGTACTAGTAATTCGGCGTCTTTTGGGCTGATGAAGGAACGGAGTTTGGCAATATGGCGAAGTTGAAAAAATTAAGCTTTTTGGAGAGTTTACTAATATAAGCATCTAGGTTTAGAGAAGAGTCAAGAATGATATCTAAGTTTTTAACTGTGGCAGATGGAATAATTGATGTGGCTTCGAGGTCAAATCTAGGGACATTTGTTATGTTTTTTTGTTACAGTTGGGGGCCCGACAAGTAAGATATCTGTTTTAGTCAAATTCAAACTGAGAGAGTTGGAGCTAAGCCAGGTCTTTAACTCATTGACGCATGACAATAGAGATGCAGTCTGGTGAATAGAGTCAGGTCGGCAGGAAGTGTATATCTGAATATCATCGGCATAGCAGTGGTACTGTAAACCGTGGCGGCGAATAATTTGTCCGAGGGGCATAATATAAATAATAAATAATAATGGCCCTAGGACTGAGCCCTGTGGTACACCCTGTTTAAGAGGGACAGAGGGAGATGTATGTAATCTGATTATGAGCATTTTAAAACGTCATATAATAATTTCTAATCAGGCACTCCTAAGTGTGGTTGGGTGTGATTTTACAGATAACTGGGGAACTAGGGCCTCTCGGGCTCCTGTAACCCCCTCTAATTACATCAAAACTTGGTCTCATGTCTGTGTCCTCTACTACTTGTCCTGTGGTGTGACGAACAGAAACTCCATGTGGGCGTTGTGCCACTAGCGAACACTCATCAGTACCTGACAGCGCTAAAGCTTTGCGTATGGTTATTTGGAAATGTGATTTTGATGCCCTGAACAGTTTGTGCATGTCAGGACTGATTAGAGTCCTGTTAGCAATCAGTGGGAAGCAGTGCCAAATGTGCAGATAGCATCAGGGAGGACGGGACGCCACATGCTGAGACCGTCCTTTACCAGCCAGCCAGCATGAAGGGTGTGAAAAGAGATTTTGGGGAGAAGGGCGACCGAAGCACTGCTGTAATGGAGCATTATGGTGTGTGTAAAGCTATGATAATGTACAGTATACTACTGTAATTTATTGTATACTTCAGTTAAAATCATATGGGAGAAAAATAAAATATTATTATTATAATTTTTTTTTTTTTTAATTGTGACATTCAATTTATGGCAATTAACCATATTTCCTCCCATTACCATAGTTTGTCCAGATGTATTAATTTTAATGATTGATTTTTTTTTTGTAATTGTGAAATTTACTAGCAATTTCTAAGTGAAAATTATTTCAAAGAAAATCCTATTCCTATTTTTTCATTGTATTATAGTATAGTAGTATTTATGAATATTAAGCTTTTATTTTTGTATTTTTAATTTTACTTTAATATTTAGTCATTTTGTAATGTGTTTTTGTAATTTTTTTTTTTTTTACTATTTAGGTTTACTTTTTATTTCAGTTTTATGTGTGGCAAAATTTCAGATTTTTTTCTTCCAATATTTGTGTTTTACTTTATTTCAATTCAAAATGTTTTTAACAGTTTTAGTTAACAATAATAACACTGCAATGGTAATTTCCTTTACTGAATTACAATTTAAAAAAGTAAAGCAATAAATCAGATGCTTCTAAATTACTAATTGCTACTTAATACAAAATACTAATACTATTTTGTAAATACTAAATAATTATATACATATTTAAAAAATAATATTACTAAAATCCCAATTAATTTAAAGATTATGTTATGTTTTTTTTTTTAATGGCCCCAAAAAATAAATTTTCTTTATATATTCTTATATATTTCAAAAACAATATTTCTATCTTTTTATTCTGGGGTAAAATATAACATGTCCTAGACAGATTTCTTCAGATTCACCCAATTATTCATCATACATTCATGTTTGATACATTGTTTGCTCAAAACACAACACACACAGATAAAAGAAGAGGCTTTTCTGGAGAAATTACAGTACGTTTGGGTCCACAGCCATTAACATTTTAAAGATTGGGATGAGCCAATATCCAGCAGAAACACTTCCCAGCATAAAATCACCATCTCATAATGTCAATCCATACATTTATACGGTACAGTATAGTCTCTCTGTTGACCCTGTATTCACAGTGGCAATGTTTCGTTTTTCTCCTCCTTCTCTGTACTATTACAAGCTTCCTTTTTTTTCTTTGCACTGGCATAATTTATCTCCCCTCATCCGGCACGCC